CTATATTAAAATGTACTTTCGATAGTACATATATTGTTCAATCTCGGTCTTCGTCAGCTGCTACTCTGGTCCATCCTTCTTCTTCATTTTCCCAGTATCTTCCAAATACTGTTACAGTTTGTCCTATATTCATGATATCAAAGATATTTTCTAAGGCATTTCTCCAATCTACATATTCTTCTGGCCTGCCAGAGAATGTTGGTAGGTTTGATGCTAGTATTTTAAAACTTGGATATTTCATTTGTGCTGCCATTTTGTTATCTTAATTGTGCTACTTGTATTTGTAGTGTTCTGCCTAATTGATTTATAGCTTGATTATATTTTGGTATATCATTTGTGTGCCAACAGTATATAATTGGTGTTGCTACTTCTTCTTCTGTTAGGGTGACGTTTTCATCTACTTCTTGTGTTTTAGGTATTTCTATTTCTCTTTCTTTGTATCCTGTATTTGTTCTTTGTGCTCTTTCGAATATAATTATCTTCTTCTTGGTTATTTTTCTTACTCTTACTATTTGTTCTAGTCATTGGAGTTTTGAGTATAATTTGTTTATTCTTTCTTTGATTTGGTTATTTTTACTATATCCTAATCCTTCAAATTTTTTGGTAAAGAAGGCTTGAAATATATTAAAGATTACTTCGTTTTCTACTACTTCGTTGAATATTTAATTTTTGACAGATTATTTCTTTTTTTGTTACTCCTAGAGGTTTAATTTTGTAATATCTGGTTTTTAATTTAGGATTTTCTTGAAGAAAATCTTCTTTTCTCGTACTCTTTTTAGTTTTGTAGATAAGATTATGTTCTATTTTTGTATAATTTATTCCTTCTTTTCTGATTGCTTCTCCTAATGCTTCTAGGATTTTGGTATCTCTTATTTGTAGTTTTATTAAAAGTTTTTGTAACTTGAATAAGTTTATTGGATTAATAGTTTTGTTATAAAGTTGTTCTGTCCAAATACTTAATAAATGTTTTTCAAATATTGTTGGTTTTCTTGAAGGTTGTAATTTTTCTGAAACTTTTTTTTAATTATTACTTGTTGATTAGTTTCTGTTGGTTCTTCAAGTAATTTAATTACTATCCTTTTGTAAGGTTCTTTTCGATATATTGGTTCATATAGTGTTTATAGTAGTTTTTAGTTGTCTTGCTAATTCTTCATTCTTTTTATCATAGTTGTGTTTTAGTAGTTGTAATCTTTTATTTTGTACACAGAATACTATTATTGCGGATATTATCCTGATGATTACTATAAGTATTTCTTCTCCCAGTAATGTGTTAGTAATGTTGGGTCTTGTAGATATTGTTGTAAGGTTGTTATGATTGTTGGTACATTTGATGTTATAAATGATACTGTTGTTTGAATTATGGTTATTGATGTTAGTGTTGATTCAGATATATGAATCACTGTTGCCATTAATAGTTGGTTCCAAATTGTTTATTAATTTGTCCAATATTTGGTATAATCTTTTTTGTTACTTGTGGTAATGATAGATTATCCAAAGGTATTTCTTGGAATTGTCTATGACGTATCTTTCTCTGTTGTTCTGCACAGATTATTAAGGTAATTATTACTCCTCCTATAATTATTAATAAGGTTGTTATTCCTTCTAGTACTTCTAGTTGGGTTTGGTTTATTTATTTCTTCTTGTTGACAAGTTTGGTAGTGGCCTTGTTGGTGGGTCGGTGGTGGTCTTGTTGGTGGTGGTGTTCTTATTTGAAATGCAAAGTTAAGTTTTCTTTGGAACTTTGCGTCTTCACTTGATTGGTTCCTTAGTAAATGTGGTAAGGAGTTGTATGGTTGTAGTTTATAAAATTGTTGTTTCTTTTTCTTTTTGAATAAGGATAATAGCATGTGTTAACAACAGCAGTTGTCTCTCTTGATTGTTTGAGGTATTCGTTAAGTTGAGGTATAGCCTTGTTGGCTCTCTTTTTATATTTTTGTTGTTTATAATAGCAGTATGTTATTATTAGTAATGTGATTAATGTTTCAATTATTATTCATAAATAAGTTGTGTCGTAATAGGATTGTTATCTATTGCTATACAGTTGTTCATACAATATTCTCAAAATATTGCGCAATTAATATATTTTAATTTGGTTATATTAATTGTTGTTGATATGGTGGTAATTGTTAATTTTGTGTGAGTCTGTTGATTTGTTGTTTATTTCATTTATTTTTCTTTATAACAAAAGATTGTTATCATTATCATTGTGATGAATGATATTGATTCTATTAATATTATAAATAGCTCTGTTACACTTTGTAAGTTTGAGAAGAAGTCTGGTTGCATAGTTTGAATGATGGTTTCTTTTAAAACAATAGTAGTTAGTATTACAGTTGGACTTTGTATTGGTATAGTGATGTCTAATATCATGCTTTTGGCAGTCAGTATGGTAAGTACTATAAGTATGATTAAGGTATATCATATTCATCCTTTCAAAGTACTAATCACTGATGTCTCGATATAGATATCTCTTGTGGATGATCGGTCCTAGAGGTTAATCTGTTGAAGTTTTATTTTTCTCTTTCGATACTTTTTCTACTTCAAACTTGTTTTGTCGATTCACTAGTTATTATCTTCAAGATAATTTAATTAGTTTACCATTATTGCTCTATTGCTCAGGTAAGAGTTGATTAAGCTCTCTTTGAGACACTTTGATATATTTGTTTATTCGTGAATAGGAATATATGTATATATATTTTAAGTTGTTGGTTGTCAAGAGTGATTAGTTTAATTAGATAGTTGGCCCGTTGATTGTATTTTTAATTTATTTCAATGATTTATTTAGGTTTTTTTAAGAATGGATAAGTTCCTTGAGGTACTACGTTAGAGACTTTCGATTAGAGTGAGGCAGGAAAAATTGTCCTCACCTAAGGGCAGAGTTTTTATTATTAAAATATTTAAATTATTTGTTAAGTCAAGAAGTGTTACTTGAGTTACTTGCTTGTTCAAGTGTTGCAGAATCATTTAAGCACAGCTTTACTCGCAATCTTTATTAGAATCTGACAGATTTTACACTCTTATAGAATACTTAATATTAGAATGTATGTTTACTTTCTCAAAGATTGGTTCTCTTTATTAAATATATGTTTATAGATAAGTAAATACAAGTGTGAGATCTTTTCGTCTCTGTGGGTTATAGTTTTGGAAGGTTATAATTCTTCCCCCACATTGTTATATATTTGGGCAAATAATAGTGGTATTATGTTGGGTGATTGGGCACCTTGCTATTCAAGATCTTTAAATTATAATTTTTGCCATAGGCAAAAATTCTAAAGTTTGAGAAAAGTAAAAACTAAGCTTCTCCGCTTATGTCATTAGGTAATATTATTGACCCTTGTTAGCTTTTTTTGTAGGCGAATATTTTATAAGTTTGGTTTCCACGTTAAGATAGATTCTCTGGGCAATATAAATTATTTGTTGAGCGCTATTTGTTATGTGTTGAGAATTTATTTTTTAGGTGGGCTATCTCTTAGGCAAGTTTTAAGGCAAAAATTCTCTTGAGAATTCTAAGCTATTGGTATCAGGTTAAGCAAAAATTCTAAAGTTTGAGAAAAGTAAAAACTAAGGCTATTTATATATTCAAAAAGGCTATAACTACTAATAAACTATGTTAATAATATAATAGTAATACAGATTATGAATAATAATAATTATAAACATTTGGTGATGATAAATAATTCTTAATAATTGTCCAAATTGATAATTGTTAATTGTTATCGATAAGGCTTAATATATCTCGGTTTGGTAATTGTTAAATGATAAGATATAATATGCTCTGATTTGGTAATCGTTAAATGATAAGATGTGATATGCCCTAATCTAGTAACCTTATTCTGATAATCATTTTGGCTAAGGTGTGATCATGATGTTTGTCATACTGATGATTGTTGGCAGATCCTCCTTTGATCGCCGGTACAGGCTGAGGTGTCATTAGGCCTAGTTTTATTTTACTAGCATATAAAGATCTTTCATAATTGGTAAAATGAATTCTATATTATACTTGTCAACATGATTGTTTTGGTCCTATGCGGTACCACATGCTGCGCAGCTATCCTAATTAAATAAATGTTAATTGAGTTATAATTAGTGACATAAATAAGTCTGCATCTAAAAATTCATATCAGATTAATACGACAAAACTTGTTGATTAATTGGTATTAAACTATAAAGTTTTTTTTAAAAGCTTAGCCAAGAGATTTAACACAATTACTGAATACTAAATGTTTCTTCGCAAGGTTAATCAAGAACTTCCAACATAAAAATTAGTATTGTAATAGCGTTGGTTAAAGAGTACTTAAACCCTATGAGCTCTTTGCAAGGTTGAACCAAAAAACAATAATGCTTTTTGTATAGCTAATCAAGAACCCCCAACACAGAAAATTTTATTTTAATATTTAAAAAGATTTGAAAAAGAGTACTTAAACCCTATGAGTTCCTATGCAAGGTTGAGCCAAAAAGCAATAATGTTCTTTGCAAAGTTAACCAAGAACCCCAACACAAAAATTTTTATTAAGTTGGTTAATAAATAAGTTCTTTACAAGATTTAACCAAAAAACTTAAATAACTGCTAAATATTAAGTTTCTTTGCAAAGTTAACCAAAATCTTCTGAATAAAAATTAATGTTATAATAGTATTGGTTAAAAAGACTTAAACCCTATGAGCTCTTTGCAAGGTTGAACCAAGAAACAAATAATACCTTTTTGTATAACTAACTAAGAACCCCCAACACAGAAATTTTTATTTTAATAAAAATTAATGTTTAAAAGATTTGGTTAAAGAGTACTTAAACCCTATGAGTTCCTTTGCAAGGTTGAGCCAAAAAGCAATAATGTTTCTTTGCAAGGTTACCAAGAACCCCCAACACAATAATTTTTATTTAAGCCATTTAGTTCTTTGCAAGGTTTAACCAAGAAACTCTATGCAATAGAAAGTACTTGCGCTAAACTTAAAATCTCCTTGCTATATTAACTAAGAATGCTCAAACTTTATTTACTAACACCTAGTATTGCGTAGTACTATGTTTTTGAAAAACACAATACCTCTGGTTCTCTGGGGCTTCTGGTTCTTCTCTTTCTGGATCTTCTGGGGCATCTGGATTCTTTGGATCTTCTTGTTTTTCGGGTTTCTCCACTTTCTCCAGTTTTTTTTGATCTCACGTTTAAGGACATTGTTGCTAAAGCACGTAAGTTTGGACATGTGACTTTTCTTAGAAATGAAAAAATAAACAGATCGACATGGATCAGTCTGATAAGACAAAGATCGACACGGATCAGCCCGAGAGAACCAGAGGTATTGTGTTTTTCAAAAACATAGTACTACGCAATACTAGGTGTTAGTAAATAAAGTTTGAGCATTCTTAGTTAATATAGCAAGGAGATTTTAAGTTTAGCGCAAGTACTTTCTATTGCATAGAGTTTCTTGGTTAAACCTTGCAAAGAACTAAATGGCTTAAATAAAAATTATTGTGTTGGGGGTTCTTGGTAACCTTGCAAAGAAACATTATTGCTTTTTGGCTCAACCTTGCAAAGGAACTCATAGGGTTTAAGTACTCTTTAACCAAATCTTTTAAACATTAATTTTTATTAAAATAAAAATTTCTGTGTTGGGGGTTCTTAGTTAGTTATACAAAAAGGTATTATTTGTTTCTTGGTTCAACCTTGCAAAGAGCTCATAGGGTTTAAGTCTTTTTAACCAATACTATTATAACATTAATTTTTATTCAGAAGATTTTGGTTAACTTTGCAAAGAAACTTAATATTTAGCAGTTATTTAAGTTTTTTGGTTAAATCTTGTAAAGAACTTATTTATTAACCAACTTAATAAAAATTTTTGTGTTGGGGTTCTTGGTTAACTTTGCAAAGAACATTATTGCTTTTTGGCTCAACCTTGCATAGGAACTCATAGGGTTTAAGTACTCTTTTTCAAATCTTTTTAAATATTAAAATAAAATTTTCTGTGTTGGGGGTTCTTGATTAGCTATACAAAAAGCATTATTGTTTTTTGGTTCAACCTTGCAAAGAGCTCATAGGGTTTAAGTACTCTTTAACCAACGCTATTACAATACTAATTTTTATGTTGGAAGTTCTTGATTAACCTTGCGAAGAAACATTTAGTATTCAGTAATTGTGTTAAATCTCTTGGCTAAGCTTTTAAAAAAAACTTTATAGTTTAATACCAATTAATCAACAAGTTTTGTCGTATTAATCTGATATGAATTTTTAGATGCAGACTTATTTATGTCACTAATTATAACTCAATTAACATTTATTTAATTAGGATAGCTGCGCAGCATGTGGTACCGCATAGGACCAAAACAATCATGTTGACAAGTATAATATAGAATTCATTTTACCAATTATGAAAGATCTTTATATGCTAGTAAAATAAAACTAGGCCTAATGACACCTCAGCCTGTACCGGCGATCAAAGGAGGATCTGCCAACAATCATCAGTATGACAAACATCATGATCACACCTTAGCCAAAATGATTATCAGAATAAGGTTACTAGATTAGGGCATATCACATCTTATCATTTAACGATTACCAAATCAGAGCATATTATATCTTATCATTTAACAATTACCAAACCGAGATATATTAAGCCTTATCGATAACAATTAACAATTATCAATTTGGACAATTATTAAGAATTATTTATCATCACCAAATGTTTATAATTATTATTATTCATAATCTGTATTACTATTATATTATTAACATAGTTTATTAGTAGTTATAGCCTTTTTGAATATATAAATAGCCTTAGTTTTTACTTTTCTCAAACTTTAGAATTTTTGCTTAACCTGATACCAATAGCTTAGAATTCTCAAGAGAATTTTTGCCTTAAAACTTGCCTAAGAGATAGCCCACCTAAAAAATAAATTCTCAACACATAACAAATAGCGCTCAACAAATAATTTATATTGCCCAGAGAATCTATCTTAACGTGGAAACCAAACTTATAAAATATTCGCCTACAAAAAAAGCTAACAAGGGTCAATAATATTACCTAATGACATAAGCGGAGAAGCTTAGTTTTTACTTTTCTCAAACTTTAGAATTTTTGCCTATGGCAAAAATTATAATTTAAAGATCTTGAATAGCAAGGTGCCCAATCACCCAACATAATACCACTATTATTTGCCCAAATATATAACAATGTGGGGGAAGAATTATAACCTTCCAAAACTATAACCCACAGAGACGAAAAGATCTCACACTTGTATTTACTTATCTATAAACATATATTTAATAAAGAGAACCAATCTTTGAGAAAGTAAACATACATTCTAATATTAAGTATTCTATAAGAGTGTAAAATCTGTCAGATTCTAATAAAGATTGCGAGTAAAGCTGTGCTTAAATGATTCTGCAACACTTGAACAAGCAAGTAACTCAAGTAACACTTCTTGACTTAACAAATAATTTAAATATTTTAATAATAAAAACTCTGCCCTTAGGTGAGGACAATTTTTCCTGCCTCACTCTAATCGAAAGTCTCTAACGTAGTACCTCAAGGAACTTATCCATTCTTAAAAAAACCTAAATAAATCATTGAAATAAATTAAAAATACAATCAACGGGCCAACTATCTAATTAAACTAATCACTCTTGACAACCAACAACTTAAAATATATATACATATATTCCTATTCACGAATAAACAAATATATCAAAGTGTCTCAAAGAGAGCTTAATCAACTCTTACCTGAGCAATAGAGCAATAATGGTAAACTAATTAAATTATCTTGAAGATAATAACTAGTGAATCGACAAAACAAGTTTGAAGTAGAAAAAGTATCGAAAGAGAAAAATAAAACTTCAACAGATTAACCTCTAGGACCGATCATCCACAAGAGATATCTATATCGAGACATCAGTGATTAGTACTTTGAAAGGATGAATATGATATACCTTAATCATACTTATAGTACTTACCATACTGACTGCCAAAAGCATGATATTAGACATCACTATACCAATACAAAGTCCAACTGTAATACTAACTACTATTGTTTTAAAAGAAACCATCATTCAAACTATGCAACCAGACTTCTTCTCAAACTTACAAAGTGTAACAGAGCTATTTATAATATTAATAGAATCAATATCATTCATCACAATGATAATGATAACAATCTTTTGTTATAAAGAAAAATAAATGAAATAAACAACAAATCAACAGACTCACACAAAATTAACAATTACCACCATATCAACAACAATTAATATAACCAAATTAAAATATATTAATTGCGCAATATTTTGAGAATATTGTATGAACAACTGTATAGCAATAGATAACAATCCTATTACGACACAACTTATTTATGAATAATAATTGAAACATTAATCACATTACTAATAATAACATACTGCTATTATAAACAACAAAAATATAAAAAGAGAGCCAACAAGGCTATACCTCAACTTAACGAATACCTCAAACAATCAAGAGAGACAACTGCTGTTGTTAACACATGCTATTATCCTTATTCAAAAAGAAAAAGAAACAACAATTTTATAAACTACAACCATACAACTCCTTACCACATTTACTAAGGAACCAATCAAGTGAAGACGCAAAGTTCCAAAGAAAACTTAACTTTGCATTTCAAATAAGAACACCACCACCAACAAGACCACCACCGACCCACCAACAAGGCCACTACCAAACTTGTCAACAAGAAGAAATAAATAAACCAAACCCAACTAGAAGTACTAGAAGGAATAACAACCTTATTAATAATTATAGGAGGAGTAATAATTACCTTAATAATCTGTGCAGAACAACAGAGAAAGATACGTCATAGACAATTCCAAGAAATACCTTTGGATAATCTATCATTACCACAAGTAACAAAAAAGATTATACCAAATATTGGACAAATTAATAAACAATTTGGAACCAACTATTAATGGCAACAGTGATTCATATATCTGAATCAACACTAACATCAATAACCATAATTCAAACAACAGTATCATTTATAACATCAAATGTACCAACAATCATAACAACCTTACAACAATATCTACAAGACCCAACATTACTAACACATTACTGGGAGAAGAAATACTTATAGTAATCATCAGGATAATATCCGCAATAATAGTATTCTGTGTACAAAATAAAAGATTACAACTACTAAAACACAACTATGATAAAAAGAATGAAGAATTAGCAAGACAACTAAAAACTACTATAAACACTATATGAACCAATATATCGAAAAGAACCTTACAAAAGGATAGTAATTAAATTACTTGAAGAACCAACAGAAACTAATCAACAAGTAATAATTAAAAAAAAGTTTCAGAAAAATTACAACCTTCAAGAAAACCAACAATATTTGAAAAACATTTATTAAGTATTTGGACAGAACAACTTTATAACAAAACTATTAATCCAATAAACTTATTCAAGTTACAAAAACTTTTAATAAAACTACAAATAAGAGATACCAAAATCCTAGAAGCATTAGGAGAAGCAATCAGAAAAGAAGGAATAAATTATACAAAAATAGAACATAATCTTATCTACAAAACTAAAAAGAGTACGAGAAAAGAAGATTTTCTTCAAGAAAATCCTAAATTAAAAACCAGATATTACAAAATTAAACCTCTAGGAGTAACAAAAAAAGAAATAATCTGTCAAAAATTAAATATTCAACGAAGTAGTAGAAAACGAAGTAATCTTTAATATATTTCAAGCCTTCTTTACCAAAAAATTTGAAGGATTAGGATATAGTAAAAATAACCAAATCAAAGAAAGAATAAACAAATTATACTCAAAACTCCAATGACTAGAACAAATAGTAAGAGTAAGAAAAATAACCAAGAAGAAGATAATTATATTCGAAAGAGCACAAAGAACAAATACAGGATACAAAGAAAGAGAAATAGAAATACCTAAAACACAAGAAGTAGATGAAAACGTCACCCTAACAGAAGAAGAAGTAGCAACACCAATTATATACTGTTGGCACACAAATGATATACCAAAATATAATCAAGCTATAAATCAATTAGGCAGAACACTACAAATACAAGTAGCACAATTAAGATAACAAAATGGCAGCACAAATGAAATATCCAAGTTTTAAAATACTAGCATCAAACCTACCAACATTCTCTGGCAGGCCAGAAGAATATGTAGATTGGAG